GTTGATTGCCCGGAGAATGTCCTACAAGTTTATAATCCTTGCTATCGTGTTCACGCTGTTGATACAAATTTTCAACGCTTCAAGTTTTTTGTCGCAGGACTTATTTGCCAACCTAATAGTTCCCATCGAAGGATCTCCAAAAATCTCATCATTGGATAGAAGATCGTTGGACCAATCAGGTGTCGAATAGGTGCTCTCTATTGATAGGCGTGCTCCGTGGTTACATTTAGCTTTACATTTTCATTTTTCTATCGAAAATTCACATTTTCGTGCTACTTTTGGTCATTTTCTTACTTTTTCATCTGATTGTCCGCTGTCACCGAAACTTTTGTTTCAATACTGTTGCAGTATTGTTGTTTTTGTATTGATCTGGTCTATTGTTGTTACTCTCTCCCTTCGTTTTTTATGCAGAAAACGGTAATCGTTGAAATTCCGCATCTCAGAAATTGTAGTTCAAAGTGAAGAATTTGTATAAGTTGTCACTATAGCCGTTTCCTTTTAGTAATGTAATCATTATATATCGAAATTTTTGTTATCTCGTTTATTTGTGAAGTCATTTTTATCCTTATTTCTTGGACGTATTGGTAATGAAGAATTTTTATGTGTTTCTCGCATCATTGCAGTGTAAGAAGACCACAGAACACATATTTAATTCACATAATTTACACTGAAGATGTATGGGTTCTATCAAATATCACAAGTATCGAAACGTGCCAATTTTTCCATTCTGCCATCTGCTCACCTTGTCTGATTGGTCGGAGAAAAGCGCGCAAATAGGGAGCATGGGCAACACCAGGAAGGCACGCCCATGCCCTCTGGGGAGTTCTGCCTGATCCTCCTAAGGTTACGAATGAATACGACAGCAAATAGCGACAGCTATCTGTTATGGCATTACAATAATTTCTATATAACCTGGCTGACTTGATACTGTAGATGTCACGGATGAGAAACGCGTGTTTGGTCTCTATGGGACAGTACTTTGGGATATTTTGATTCTTCATTTTTTCGCTTCCTAAAGGGAAGTATCTGAATGTGGTAATATGGAAACTGTAGGAGAAATAAGAACGCAGAAAGCTTAACTTGGAACGGATTTTATTTGATCATCAAAACAATGGTTTGATGATTACTTCCTCGAAAGTGAACAGAAAAATTGATCACTCGGTAATGCCTCATTTCCAAGCATCTCTGAGCGTCTCCTTTTTATACTTCGCACTTTTGAGTGGAGCTGGTGTAGAGGCAAATGGCGCACCACTACACACGAACGGTCTTGGGATCAAGCACCGGATCGATATTCGTGCAGAGCAACGGACCTCTCCACTCCACATACATCTGCAGATTTGTACCAGACTCGCTGGGGTAATAAGAGCATTGACTTTTGGCTGCTCATCTCCTAAGCCTTTGAGTAGGCCAATCACGCATCCAAACAGTGCTATGGTCCTGAATGGAGGTCAAATGCATGGCGCAACCCGGAACGCTATTGGTCAACACCCAAGACCTTTACCTGTTATCCTTCCTGAACCACTTTGGCCGGTCAGCTATAAAGCCGAGTCATATTGTGGGGCCTTTCCTCTGGAATAGTACATGTCATTCGGGCTTTCCTTTTCAATTAAAGTTTGTATAGCTTTGTAATCCTTTTGCATAGCACTGTAATGGCGAGAAAGTGTATAATAGTAAATAAATACGTGTAGTGGAAGCTATTGCGAAATCTTGCCCTTTCCACTTGCTCAGATTTCAGTTACCAAGCGTCAGACACATGGCACGACCCGGCCAGCCATTTCACATAGACTTCCCAATTTGAATTCATTCACTCTATGGCTTTGAAGACTTCAATTAATCAAAGAGAAGCTTTTCGAATGTCTTTAAGTTTTTGACTTTTTCACCATTGGTGGTAATTAATCAAACAACCTTCATTATTACGAGCTTTATGCTTGCATTCTTTGCTGCATTGTCTGTTGGACCGTCGTAGCACGAATTTTCATTGCGCTTGAAATATCCGAGCGTTCTCACTAACAAGTCGTCGCTCTCCTTTCTACTTGAATTGTGGTACGTACAGGTATTATTATTGATTTTTTTGTAAGTAACACTATGGAGGATTATTTGCAGGATTTAGGGAATGAATGGGGTTTTGGGGAACTTACGAGCTTCGCAACGACTTGGGTCATCACTTCTCAGATCATGCGCTATTGCAACTCCCTCTGTATCATTCCANAAGCCACTCCCTTACGACCTCTAGCGGCGTATCAACGGCATTACTGTGCTAAAACTACTGAAATAGAACAATCAAACTTACCATCGAAAGAAACGCTGTTTAAAGTGGATTGGCTTCTTGAATATGTTGTAAGTGCAGTTCAGACATGTTCTTTTTTGTTTCTAATAACATTAATCTTCATCTTGTTCAGACTCCAGCCCTTTTAAAATCAAGAGTGACACCATTCTTTGATATTTGCCTGGATGATGTCTCATTTGAGGATAAACTCTACAATTACAAATTTTCCCGAAAATCCCAATTGTTTTCACATGTTGCAAAAATGAGGTTATATTTTCGTTATCGATCACCTTATAACAAAGTAGAGGTTAGTTGATTATTTCAAGTAATCTGAAGGTAATAGCCGATGAAATCCGATTTTCAGAGGATTGGTTCGTGTATCTATGAAAATGAAGACGTTATCGTTTTATTATGGCGGCTGACTACTCTAGAATCTAATTTTTTGTCGTATTTTCCATCATTCATAACAGGAAAGGAGGTAACTCTGGAATTTTCTGATTTATGCAAAATGTAAAAACACCGAACTAATTCAAGTTAGTCATACTCAAAAAAATTTTTAGCAAAGTGATTGAAGTGTTTTTCACGGACTCGATGTAAGTTTTAGGGTGTTTTTATTGTGAGAATAGTGAAAATTTTGATTTTGATTGTAATTATTATTGTTACTACCATCTCGTCGGCAGTTTGATTTGTTCCAAAGATTTTTTCTCCAAAGAGCCACGCGTCAGACAAAAAATGACCGCTGAAAAATGCAATGCTGAACTTTGTTGTTTCAAAAGTTTCTTTACTTTCAGCAAAAGATGAACGTAGCTGAAGGAGCCCTTGATGTTCATGTTAATCGTGAAGGATATGTCTATAAAATCGTGAATAGAAAGGTATCGATCATTTTGACGATTTGGTCCTTAACTTTTAAAATTTTTGCCTTTCGACAGATCACCGCATCAGATCGTGAGGGTGCCAAAGTCATGGAAGTGATGAAAGCCGAGCAGGAAGAAGCGCGAAAGAAAGCGGAAGAAAAGGAGCTTCGTCGTCAAGCCGAATCCCTAATGGAAGAGGAAAAACGACGTGGAACCGTTTAGACAACTTTAGCTATAAATAGATTAAGTCATCATAGTTTATCAACCCTCAGGTGGAGCCTGTATTTTACTGTACTTGTTATTGCACAATACTGACCTTGATGGTGAGATTATTGTGCGTTTTTATTGTTTTGAATGTTATTTTTTGAGAAGATGTAATATATCATTGATCAATATTTTGAGCAGGCCGTACAGTGGTTGGACCCACTTATACTTTGTCGCTTTGTCCGTTATCGATTACTTTTTACTTGTCCCTGAATTGGCATTACAGTTGACCTCCGTAAGCGAGGCGAATGCTGCGGCGTTTCGCGCCATGTGCACTGCGAGCCGCAGCAGAACAGTCATCATGTTCTCACCGGAATTTATCCACGAATATCGACCTTTCACATGAAAAACCGCTACCATTTCAACTGGAGCATGTACAGCAACGTTTGGTGGAAACTGTGAGTTTCCTTCTAGCGATTTTATCTTTTTTTAACCATGAATGTTACCAACTTCAGGTGCCATACATGTTCAAGACGAGGCTAGATTATACGTTCTATCGAAAAGATGTTTTCTGTGATGATCAAATATTTGGCATCAAAAAGTAGTAAGTGATCTGATAGTGGCTGTTCTTCTTCCTGTAAAATGTTGTAATTTCGCCAAGTTATTTTGTACGTTCCTCATTTTTGCCAAGTTTTCGAGGGGCTTTTTTATTCGGTTCCGTGATACCTCTTGTTCCTCATTGTGGATGGGGTGGGACAGTGGGTTACAATGGATAAGTTGACGGAGATCTTGTAATCGGAAGAAAAAGTAAACGAGTCCAACATAAATCGATCCCGAGATCTTACACTCTTTCGTAGAGTGTTTGTATTTAAAGCGGCCGCTAAGAATGACTTGAACTGTTTCCAGCGAATAGCCCATCAATTTGCGTTTTTTGTGTTTGCGGTAACAGCGCTTGCCATTTTATGAATATCGTTTTTCGATTTCGTTGTTTTGAAAGTTTTTTGTTTGTTATATTTTATAAGGTTCCGTACGAGGATTAACAGAATCTGTGGTGCTAAGTTCAAACGAACTCTCCCTTGAATCATCTCGGACCTCTATGAGCTAGCGATTTTATTTCAAAAATGGGAATAAGTTTGCATACTGACAAGGTCCTTTCTAGTAGCTTTAAAATAATATGTACAAAAGGGCTAGGACTACATGAAAAGTGTTTATACTGCCATATACGCGTCCTGATAGCGGTATGGGTATGGCTCGCATTGGGTTTAGGTTGTGATTGCAGTAATCTTGGTTTTTTCTGGATTTTCTGCAAACTTCCGTGGGAGTTCTATGTAAGGACGCTACACGCGCTTATAAGCATATATATACGGATTCCTCTTCCATAATTATTTAATGGCATATACGGGTTCAATTCGGTCACTCCGATGTAAAAACCTATGAAATCGTTTGTTTGAGAGTTTTCAACCTCAAAGCTTCTCCTAAGGGGTTTTGTGCCCAATTTGTTTTAATGCATCACTGCCTGAAACAAAAAGATCAAAGATGAGCCTTGATCTGGTCAGTCGATGGCGATATTATAAAATCTTTTGATATACTATGCGCATTCAGGCGGCTAGAGTCCTTTTATAGTATTCCATGAGAGTTTCCAAAAATTCCGGGAAAAACTGGATTAATATGAGAATTTCGCCAGATATTTTACGCCCAACTTAATATTCACACGTTGAGAACGCAACAAAATTTCGCTTCATGCGGGTTCCGGGGGTCATAAGTCTAACCGAAATTTCATTGTGGAGCGCCTAAGTGCTAAATGTCACATCAATTTAATCGGAATGCCACGCTTCCCTGAACTTCATCGGCTTAATGTATATAAAATACAATTTCAGTGGCCTTGATCAATTCATGAGTCATATCGGGCTGATAAGTGTCATAGGGCAATTCACAGTGCCACATATTCAGATGGAGGTATTCTTTTCCTACAAAACTTTTACAAATCCATTTTTATTCATTATTTGGTTTTACTTTTATTTTTTCAAAGGTAGCGCTCTAACTGCTTGTTGTAGACTGTCAGTGTCATACCGGTCATTGAAGATGGCACGGTACGGTGTCGCTGGCGAGTGAATTATGTGTCACTTCCACGGCTCATCATGAATCCTCGGTTGTTTAAATTTGATTACCGTATGAAAAATGTGAGTTCTAAGAGTAATTGTGATCGATCGCATTGAAAAATTGCCTGCCTGATTGCAGCTTAGTTGGTATGATGGCTACTCCGTGTTAACAGTCGACGGTAATGGCCATGTGTTTAAAGTCACTTTACAAAAGGTAATTTCGAAATGTTCCATCTGTCCCATATGCATATTTTTTATGTCTTTTTATTTAGACCCAACGGGATGAAGGTATGTTAATAGACGAGAAGAGTGCTAAGGATAAATTGGCCGAGAAAATAGCAGTTTTCCGGCCCGGTCCTGCGACCACAAATTTCGTACCTCGGCGGCGACCTAAAGATGAGCCAAATGGACATTGTTGAGCATTTGGTTATTCAATCTTGTCATGATTCACCTTTAAGGTTTGCCAGTAATCCGTTTTAGCTGTAAATTGGCAGCAAACGTTTTAGGATAGTCAATTGAAGAAGTGACATATAACTGCCCCTCTATTGTACCATTTCCTTCGTTTTTACAATTTAATTATCGTTCATTCTACCGCTGTTGTATGTAATAGTTGCCGGGTGAGCATTTATCCTCCATTTAGGCTTTTTGGTAGTATTATTTACGGCACATACGGAATTGTGTTGTTAGGTTAGAGTAGTTGAACATTAAAGTTGTATAGATTGTTATTGGTTGCTTGTGTATTTTTGTTAATACACGTTTAACTCGCAGCATCCTACTGTTTTTATTAAGTGGTTATTTTCCCAGTACTGTTTATCTCCTTTTTTGAAGTATATAAGCTCCTTGCAGAATTGGAGTTTATACTTTTCCCTAGGGTTCAAGAACGATGCTTTCCCGCCATTCCGTTCGTTGCGCACATGCTGCAGCTGCTTCGCGTGCAGCAGCCAGCAAGGTTCGTTACCTTTTTCTTGTAACTTAAATGCCACCTTAGTTACGACTTGCGGTTTCAGGCGGAACAAATCACTAAATTGCCAAGTGGTCTCACCGTTGCATCCGTAGACCATCAAGGTCCGATCAGTCAACTGGTAAGTATTACATAAATTTTGTTGTATAGCTTAGTTAAGAGCTGCCAGGCTTTTTTTTACTTGGTAACATCATACGAGCCCTGCGGATATATTAGGCCAGGAACATGCTATAGAATGTTGAACTCTGGCTCCCTAGGGAACGTGTCCTATCTGGCTTACGGTAGTTAATATCGTTATAGGTTGAGGGCGGGAAGGATATGATATTAGTATAACATCGCAATTTCAATAATCGACAAAGCTTTCATGGGACGACCCGGTCTACATACGTAAGGAAGCTGGTGAACTATTTTTGCAACTAGTTTTTGCTGGCTCGTAAAGACGCTTTGGCATGGTTCGACTATCTTTCAATTTCCTTTGAGCATTGAGCAAATCGAAGAAATTTTCGATACATGGGAGCGACGGATTAGCAATACTCACCCTGTTAACAAAATTTATCCCTGCCATGAGGTTCATAGCGTTTATACTTCTGCGTCTACGTTCTTCTTGCTTTTGAGCTTTAAATCATTCAGTACTGT